TAAGCACATAGAGAAAGGGAATTGTGTATAACAACCTCAACAGTTGTTCCACTTGGATGCAAGAGATTCAACGATTACACCAAGGGGACGAACTCAGTACTTTTTTTGTACCTAATGCCGATCCTTATCCCAATGCCCATACACATGCCAACAAAGAAAATTGAGTTATAAAGGGTGCTTGTTTGTAGGGGAGAAGACGGAATTGGGGGAATAGTTGATACAACAACACCACCATGATTCATTCTTAGGAGGGTATTCGAGAGTAAGGGGCACCTATAGCAAGTTAAAGTAAGGGTTCTATTGACCCAAGATGAAGCAATAGGTGAAAGAGTAAATAAGAAAATGTGAGGTATACCGAAGATGTAAGGGAGAAAATGCAGCTTACTCAGGGCTACTGCAACCTTTAATCTTCCAAATTAGACCCGAAGTGATGTAACAATGGATTTAGTATAGCACTTGTCCAAGTCAAACAGGAAGGACACCAAAGTTGTAGTAGACCGGTTCGCCAAGTATGGTCAATTTTTGGCCTTGTCACATCCTTTTACTACTCAAACCTTCGTCGAAGTCTTCTTAGACCAAGTTTACTCCTTGAAATGCCGAGATATATTATCACCAACAAAGATAAGATATTTATGAGTCATTTTTTACAAGAATCAATGAAGATTATCGGAACCAAACTTCAGTAGAGCTCAGCCTACCAAACTGATGGATAGACAGAAAGAGTCAACCAATATATTGAAGATTAGGTGAGATGTGTGACTTCTTAGAAGCCTAATGTTAGGATATTAAGCGTAAAAAAGAAAAAGTTGTAAAAAATGGACAAAATAATATTTTTGTAAACACTTACATCCTGTTTGGATAAATTTTAATGATGGTTAATTAATATATGATTATGACAGTAATTGAATGACAATGACATAAGATGTAGATGACAAAATTTTTTTACGTTTAAATGATTATATATTAATGTATGTTAATGACATTTTTTTTAGATGGTAGGATGATATGGTTGTATTTTCAGTCAAATTATTAATTTATCCCTATTTATTTATGTAATAGTAAGTGATATATAAGTAGATAATTAAAAAAAATTAAATTGTTTACCGATATAATTATATTTGTATTTAAATAAATAATTATTACAAATTAAATTTTTATATTTAATAAAATAAATAATAAATTTTGAGGATAAAAATAAAATTAATTATATTATATGGGGGTATAAAGGGAAAAAAAGTAATCTGTCATTCACATACCACCGATTCGGTGGTTTTAAAGTTTATCCCAAATTTGACAGTCAGATACCGTTTGTTATCATTGGAAATTGAAACAAATATG